TTTCTTTTTGACATTTATTTATTTTTGAGAGACAGAGCATGAGCAGGGGAGGGACAGAGAAAAAGGGAGACACAGAATTGGAAGCAGGCTCCAGGCTCTGAACTATCAACACAGAGCCGGACGCGAGGCTTGAACTCATGAACTGAGAGATCATGACCTGAGCCGAAGTCGGATGCTTAACCGACTGAGCCACCCAGGAGCTCCCCGCCCCTTTAAAAAAAAAAAAAAACTACACAGTGTATCTTATAAATTGTTCCACATCAGTATAGGTACCACTGCTTCATTCTTCTTTGTGATTGCACAGTACACCACCATATTCTTGTACATTTAGGTTGCTTCCAATCTTCTGGTGAAATGATTTCTGAATTTAAAAATTTTGACTGATGGGCCAAATTTCCCTCCATAGAGGCTGTACAAATCTGCACTCTACCCCCACGTGTGTGAGGGCCTCTTGCTCTCGCCTTGCCAAGCCTGACTTCAAACTTTGGTTTTTGCCTATATGATAAGGGGGAAATAGCCTCTCATTATAGCTTTAATCTGTATTTCTCTTAGTAGGTGTAGATTTGGGCAATTTTTCGTATGTTGAAGTCACTGTCGTTTCGTTTTTTTCTTTTGTAAATCGTCAGCTCACGTACTTTGCCCACCTTTTCTAATGGTTGCTCAATCTTCTCCACTTTGATTTACAGGTGCTTTTAATATATTAAGGAAGTAATACTGTCGTATATATTGCAAATATGTTCCCCACTTTGACATTTACCTTTTCCATTTTTTCATAATGGGGTTTTCCCCGCACACATTTTATATTTTTAACGAAATCGTCAAAGGTAGTGGTCTTTTCATGAATGGCTTCTGAGTTTGGGGTCTTATTTAGAACATTCTTTCTATAAGATGATTAAAAACAAAAATCTGGAGTTTTTCCTTGTTATGTTGGTGGTGGTGGAGGTTGGGTTTTAGCTCCCTTCGTTGGTGCTTACATTTGGGTGACTTCTAGAACTACATTCTGTCCCCATGATTGCTTCGTCTCATCAAAGTCTAGCCCACGCTGCTCTCAGTCCAAGAGCTTAGTTTTAGCCTCGGTATCTTCTTCTTTTTTTTCAGTCTTTTCTGGGCGCGTTCTCGCAACTCCATTTGCCTGTATGAATTACAGTTTATCTAATTCCAAAAGAAGGACATCTTGCTGTTATTTTTACTAGGATGATGTGAGATCAGAGGATTGATTTAGAGAAATGACATCTTGGTCACACTTGCAGTCTTCCTGCTGAGAAACGGGGCGACAGGGAGGGTCTTTCTGTGTATTTATCTTCTTCTGGGTACCTTGCAAAGGTTTTTCTTTCTTTTCTTTTTTTTTAATGTCCCTTTATAAGTTTTTCGTATAGGTGTTGAATATTTCTAATTAAGATTATTCCAAAGGGGCGCCTGGGTGGCTCAGTTGGTTGAGGTCATGATCTCACAGTTTGTGAGTTCGAGCCCCACGTCAGGCTCTGTGCTAGGAGCCCAGGGCCTGCTTCAGATTCTGTGTCCCCCTCTCTCTCTGTTCCTCCCCCACTCGTGTTCTGTTTCTATCTTTCTCTCTTTCTCTCTCAAAAATAAATAAAACATCTAAAAAAAAAAAAAACCCAGGAACCCTCTATTTTCTGTCCACTGATTGTTCTATCTAGATTCTTTGCTCTTCTGATAGCAGGTCTTCTGTTCATTTATAGGTTCCCAGAAAATTATTTCACCCATTTTTTGGTTTGGTTTGGTTTGTTTTCTTTTTAATTCCAGGGCCTCAATGCAAAGTGTCTTTTGTATTCCTGTCCCTTTCCTGTTTCTGTGTCACTTACCAGGCCAACCCTGGTGGTTCCATGGCGTTGGAAGGACCCCAGAACCACACCGCCTAGTGAGGACCGCAAGTCTATGTGGTCACGTGGTCTTTCACTGGCTTTCCTGAGTTTTTCAAGTGTGAGAGTCGCGCTGTCTGTCCCCCACCCTGGCGACTCTTCCTTCTCCACGGAACCGGGAGCTTCACAGTGTTTGGCTGTTACAAAGCACATCTTCCTACACAAAGCCTTTTCTGTATTTAGAATGATTTCCTTGGGCTAGGTTTTCTGGATCAAAGGGTAGGCACGTTTTTTTAGGACAATTTACTTTCCAGAAGGGGTTGTTCTAGTTTGCACTCCCACCAGCCACGGAAGATTTTAAAAACCTAGGTCACCTCACGCTTTTTCGGAAACACTCTGGGGGCTCCCCCACCTGCCCACTGCCAACAAGACCACCCCCCCTCTCAGGCTGGTTTCTGCCCTGACTTCACCTCCCATCTCCCACCAGAAGGTTCCTCCTCCCCTGTTCCCCCTACACTGACCTTCTTTCTGCTCATGACTATAATGGGCTTTTTCTGGCTCCAGGACTTTGCTGTTCCCTCTGTCCCAAACATCCTTACCACAAACCTCCCCACATGGGCTCCTTCCTGTCACTCAGGTCAGGCATCACCTTCCCAGAATGGCCCTCCCTGCCCACCACATCCCCACGGTCACACACTATTCCATCCTTCTGTCCTAGTGTCTTGCAGGCATTGGGCGCTTCTGGAAGTGACTGCGTGCCTGCTGGGGACAGACACCCCACGGGGCAAGGGACCCCGGTGTGTCCTCTGTATCTAGAACAGTGTCTCACACACCCTGAGTAATTTTTTTTTTAAGTTTATTTTTTTTATTTTGAGAGAGACAGAGCAGGGGAGGGGCAGAGAGAGAGGGAGAGAGAGAATCTCAGGCAGGCTCTGCGCTATCAGCACGGAGCCTGACACGGGGCTCGAACTCACGAACTGTGAGATCACATAACCTGAGCCAAAACCAAGCTTAGCCGATTGAGCCACCCAGGTGCTCCCCGAATAATTTTTATTTCCTCCCAGGAGAGCTCGGCCTGGGTTCCTGCGCAAACCCTTTCAAAGCTCCAGACCCATGGGAAGCACGAGGCTCGTTTACTTTAAGATGAATTGCTTAGAGCAACTGGCCATCTCCCCTAGTCCCAGCAGCATCAGGCAAAGAGCAGGGGGAGCGCCCCGCCCTGAGTGCACACCGGAAGCCTCCCCTGCGCCCCTTCACTTCCTCGGTGCAGCCTTATTCTCCACTCAACTCAGTCCACCCTTCAGACAAATATTTGGCTCTTACTGTATGCCATGCACCCCACTGGGTGCTGACGATCCGAACAGAAATAAAGCAGGGCCTTACTCCCAGGGGGCTGGGGGGCGGACAAGGCTTTGAGAAAAGGTGCCAACCACAGTGCGGGCTCACCCGCATCTCTGGGGCTTCCTGTCTGGTGGCAGGGGTGGGTCTCAGGGCAGGAAGAGGAGCGGCGAATCTGGTAGGAAGGGACAGGAGGCGTCCAGGTAGGGGCCTGGCAGGTGCGCTGGCCGGTGCGTCTTCTGATCCCATCCTGGTGGCTGGTTCCCGAGTGGGCGGGGGGCTCACCTAATTCCCTGGGACACAGATCCCAGCCCGGGAAGGACCACCTCCCGCCTGGTTCCTATTGTCACCTTGCAGCAGGGCCCCTTTCCCTGCATGGAAACCCCCCATCGCTGGCTGATTTCCTCTGCCAGGGCCCCAGGGGACTCCTCTCTGTAATGTCTCCTGAGGTTCCACAGCCTCTCTTAAAACCACGTTACAGAAAAATAAACCAAGTCTCAGACAGAGGTACAGGAGCTGGGGTCCTGAGCCCTGCGAGAGGATTATAATTCCATCTACCTAGTCAGGGTCTGATCCCAAGGTCAGGGGAGGAGAAAGCCTACAGAGGGGGAGGGAGGACCCAACGAAGAAGCAACACAGAGGGCAGCGGCAATCCTTAGACCTCACGGTCTTCAGCCCCACGGACTCCTACTCATCCTTCAAAACTTTGAGTCTGGCCGCCCTCATGACCTGTCCGACCCACTGACCTGGGCACTTTAGGCCTGCCCCCCAGCTGACCCAAGGCAGAGGAGCGGGGAAGGGGGTTAGTGAGCCTGGGCATCCACGCGGGGAGGTGGGCATGGAGGTGAGGGGCTAGATCAGCCTCAGGTCACCTCGGGGTGGCCCCGGTGCCACGAAGCCCCTCCCGGTGGTGTCGGGGAGAAGACCTCAGCCTCCGCCCCGCCCCCGCCTCTGCGGGCGCCGCGGGTTAGGGAGGGAGGGGGAGGGGGGCGGGGCAGACAGGCAGGGGAGGGGGCGGGGCTCCGAGCGGGGGGCGGGCCGGGGCGGAGCGCGGTGGCCCCTGCCGCGCTCGCCGCTGCTGCTGCGCCCCCAGGACACGCTCGCCGACCCGCGGCTAGCGGACCGCGCACCCGCGGAGGACGCGGGCTACGCCGGGCCCATAGCGCGGGGCGTGGGGCGCGGGTGCCCAGGGGTCCCGGCGCGGGGGCGGCGGGCACAGGCGGGGCCGGGCGCGCCGAGGACCCCCGGGCCGGGCAGCGCCGAGGTAAGCGGTCACCGCGGAGGTGGCGGGCGGGGACGGGGACGGGGACGGGGAAGGGCTGGGGCGCAGAGACCTGTCGGAGCCTTTGTCTGCGGCGCGCGCGGCGTCAGTCCGCGCCCCCTCCCCCTCCGCGCCGGCTCGGGCCGCTGAGCCCAGGGGCGGGGGCACGTGCGCTGGGGACTCCGAATCTCCCACCCCACCCCAGTGCTGAGAAGAGGGCACTCCCACTCTGCCCCACCCAGCATGTGGACCGGGCCAGCCCTCCCGCCCCCCCCCCACCCCCAGCCGCTGCGAGCGCAGGACCGGGAAAGGGGAGAGTGGCCGGTGGTCCCAGGCCATCTCCAGGTCCGGGAGCCACCTCCATTCCCAGGCAGGCCCAAAGGGTCCCTCCACCTGAAGTTCCTCCCTGGACCCCCTCTGCCCCGTCACAGCTCTTCCCCGGCCAGCTGCCTCCTAGTTCTTGGAAAAGCTGCTGTAATAGGCAGGGCCTGTGCCCAGGGGTCACCTCGTGGTGGCCTGCGGAACCTGCCTTTCGCCTGGGGGCACAGGCCTGGGAGCCAACTTTGTTGCTGATAGGACTGGCCAGGCAGAAGGAGCCTAGCGGATGCAGGGTGCCGGTCAGCCCTGAGACCTGCAGAAGCCAAGGCCGGGGAGAAGGTGGGTCTGGGCTGAGGGAGCCACCAGCCAGCGCCATGGCCAGTGCCTTCACCTCTCCACCAGCGGCTGTAGGAAAGGGTGGGTGGGGGGGTTGAATCCCACTTTCCCGTGGGCAGAGCCGACAGGGAGGAGCTGGGGCAGTCTGGAAAGCTATGCTGACCTCCAGCAGGCCTGGGCACAGGGGACCAGGGCCATCCTAGGGTGTCCAGCTAGCCAGGGCTCCTGACCCACAACCGGTGCGAGGCCTGAAGAGGGCCAGCAGGCCAGCTCTCCAAATAGAATCCAGATCCCTCGTGGCCTGTGGAGGCAGAGCACAGCTCCTGATAAGGAAGGGTCAGCTTGGCCCTGGGGCCAGACCCCCAGCCCTCACGGCCCCAGAGCCCGTTCAGAACCTGTGTCCGCTCGGCCACAGCGGAAACGAGGGTACCAGAGGTGGTCACAGCACTGCAGGGGCTCCGATGCGGGCCCCACGACCTCTGGTCTTGGCGGCTCTCTGAGCGAAGCGGGGGTATGAGCTGGGCTTTCTGGACCACTGGGGTCAGGAGCCCTCTCCTGCCTGCTGTGTCCTGATGCAGAGGCTGTGCGTCTTCACACACACACACACACACACACACACACACACACACACACCCGTGTGCAGCCACACCTTTGACGATCCAGCCACCCCTCCTTGGTCATGAAGTTCTTTCTCCCCCTCCTCATCCACAACGAGGAAGGAGGGAAACTGAGGCCCAGGGGTGGCCCATTGAGGAGTGACTAGTGACCTGATGGCCAAAGAAATAAGCTGTGTCCTCTCAACTGCTCCCCAGGGTGGACATCAAGGGCTTCTGGCAGAAGGCGGGGAGGAGCAGAGAATGCGTGCTGTCTCGGATTTTTAGACCCACGTGCGTGTCCTTAAGTTTTAACTAAAGAGGAACAGGAGAGGAGGGATGGGTCAGGGATGATCTGAGGCTCCAAGGCTGTGGTGTGGAGTTTGAGGGGGCCGGGGAGGGATGAGTTGGAGACCTAGGCCAGGAGAAGTAGAGACCGGCCACCTCAGCGCACCTCCCCCCCACCCCACTCTGTCACCCAGTGAGGTCGTGCCCACAGGGACAGCCCCCAGGAGGGCCCGGAGGAGCACACGGGGACAGTGGCTGAGACAGGCATCGCGGGTGGCAGCTGCCCGCGTCACCGAGGAGCCAGAGGGAGCAGTGGGGCCGCCTCCTGGCTCGATGCTGAGCACGTCCGCCCTCCCGGGTGGCGTGGCCAGGGCACTGCGTCTTGGGAACCTTTGCAGAACACAGGTCAGGAGTTCAAGGTTCGGGGATGGGCCCCTGTCCTGAGCGCTGTATTGTTGTAGACCACCGCTCTGGCCCCTTCCAGGGAGGCTGGGAGGGCGGAGCCTCCTGTGCAGAATCCTGCCCAAGGCCAGGAGCAAGGCCATGGTCACTCCAGCCGGGCCCAGCACTGTCCTAAATCCTCCTGGGTACCCCCCACCCCAGCTCCAGAGGTAGCCAGAGGCCCAGGACTGGGGGGCACCTAGGAAAAGCACTGAGCCTGCAGGGGGTTACACCTGCTTCCCAGCCTCCAGACAGAGAGGCCTGCGACCCTCTGCTCTATGCTCGTGGGTGCCCATCAGCCCGGGCAGTTTCCCCCAGGCCCCAGATCAGCCTGGAAGCAGCACGGCTCCGGGCTCCAAGGCCCCAGTAGAAACTCGATGGAGAGCTAGGAAAGGGGGAGACACACGGGGCCAGCAGGAGGTGCTCAGTGACTGGAGGCTGGGAGCTGATAAACTGAGGCAGGAGAGCGGGAGAAAGTGAGACCAAACAAGAGCAGGTGGAGGTGGAGTGTGGTGGCAGGCTGACCTCAGAGGAGCCTGGAGTGGCCCCAGCACGTGGGCTCCCTGGGAAGGGGCTGCCTCCTGGCTTCTGCTGTGGGCTCTCCCACACGCCCCTGGGGGGCCGAGGTGCCACACTCCGTGCTGGTGCTCTCGCGTCCAGAAGCCTCTGTGGCCAATCCTCTGAGGGGAGCGTGCACTCAGATACACATGTAAATGTTGTTACAAAAACAAATGGATGGGGCGCTGGCTGGCACCGTCGGCGGAGCAGGAGAATCTTGATCTCAGGGTTGTGAGTTCGGGCCCCATGCCGGGTGTAGAGATTACTTAAAAAGAAAAACTTAAGGAGCGCCTGGGGGGCTCAGTCGGTTAAGCGTCCAACTTTGGCTCAGGTCATGATCTCGCAGTCTGTGGGTTTGAGCCCCACATCAGGCTCTGTGCTGACAGCTCACAGCCTGGAGCCTGTTTCGGAGTCTGTGTCTCCCTCTCTCTCTGCCCCTCCCCCACCCATGCTATGTCTCTCTCTGTCTCAAACATAAACTATAAAAAATTTTTTAAAAAATAAAAACTTAAAAAAGAAGGAAAAACTGGTAACTCTTTTAGGGAAAGAAAACAAGACTCCATCCACTCAGCTACACACACACAGTGTTGCCTACACACTGAGGGTGTCTCTCCATTGTGGATAAATTAGCTTCTTCCTTTCTTCTAAATTTTTAAAAAATATTTATTCATTTTTTAAAAAAAGTTAATACTTATTTTTGAGCAACAGAGCATGAGCAGGGGAGGGGCAGAGAGAAAGTGGGAGACACAGAATCCAAAGCAGGCTCCAGGCTCCAATTGTCAGCACAGAGCCTGATGCAGGGCTCAAAACCATGAACCGTGCGATCGTGACCTGAGCCCAAGTGGGACGCCTAAGTGAGCCACCCAGGCGTTCCCAGCTTCTTTCTTTCGTTTAAAGATAAGGGCAGTTGGGGCACCTGGGTGGCTCAATCGGTTAAGCCTCTGACTCTAGATTTCAGCTCAGGTCATGATCTCACAATTCTTGGGTTCAAGCCCCGTGTCATGCTGTGCACTGACAGGGTGGGGCCTGCTTGAGATTTCCTCTCTCCGTCTCTCTCTCTCTGCCCCTTACCTGCTCACTCTCACTCTCTTTCTCTCTCTCAAAATAAACTTTTAAAAAAGAGGCAAAACTAATTTTTTAAAAAAAGGGTAAATGTAGTAGACTTGAGTTGAAGCGAGGGAAACTGAGGGAAGATCAGAGGAAGGACTTCCCTATCACAGAAGGTGGTTGGCCCTGGAATGGAGGACCGCAGTGGTTCAGCGTGTCCCACAGGCCTGGGTTCGGTCCCGGCTGCCCTCCTCACTGAGACTGGGGGGACGGGATGGGTGTCACCCTCACATTCCCGCCGGGCTGTACATGCATGAGGCCAGGCACCCCTCGCGGAGGGAGACGCCGAGCGCAGCCTCGGGTGGCGTTGGCTGTTCTGACTGGCGCTCCACCCCCAGACTGTTGCTTCGCCCGTCGACTCCCCTCCGAGGTTCTGCTGCCACCACACTCGGGCCGCTGCCCTGGGCTCCCTGAGACACGCAGGGGTGCGGCGGTGGCCCAGGGAGCCCCCTCGCCTGCTCAGCCTGCCTCCCCGCCTCTCTCCACAGCCATGGGCTCCGTGGGCAGCCAGCACCTCAAGGAGCCCAGCGTGGCGGGCACCCCGGACCGGGGTGTGGTGACGAGCTTCAGCTTCGACAGCTGCCAGCTGGAGGAGGAGGTGGCCGCAGGGACGGCTCAGGGCCGGGACTGCCGGCCTGGGGGTGCCCCGGTTTTCCCGGACTCTGGTGAGTGAGGGTGTGGCCTGGCCCAGTGGGGATCAGAGCCCCGGAGAGGCACCCTGGGGGGGGTCTCAGAGTGCAGGACCCAGGGTGTGTGGGGATAGATCGTGTCTGCCGCTGGGACATGCAAGCTCCTGTCTCCAGGCCTGCGCCCCGACACAGTGTGTCCAGCGCAGGTCAGGGAGCCAGGCTCGGGAGCCTCCGTATTAATGTGGGCTTCCACGCCCCCTGGGCGGGATGGGGTGGGGTGGTGGAAGGGTGCACCGTGGGTCATGCACAGCCCTATAGGGCTTCCGTCTGGAAGTGACATGTGTCCCTTGGGTCACATTCACTGGCCTCCCTTCAGTGGAGATGGGAAAGAGGATTGATATGAGGTTCAAAGACTTGATTGTCGTCCTGGCTGTGTGACCTTAGGCAAGGGCCTGAACCTCTCTGAGCTTGCTTCCCCACATTGAGGGACTAGGCCAGTTGCATAGGAGATCAGACTTGCAGGGTCGAGGCTGACACTGGACAGGTTTGGGTTCAGCCCCAGCACCCCCGTCCCTCGCCTGCTTGGGGACCGTGGGCAGGTTACCATTGTCAGCACTTGGCTTATGTCCTCTAGGAAAGGGGAAGGGGACTGGTACCACCCTCCGTGTGGTGCCAGTAGAAGCCTCAGAACATTGCCTAGGGCTGTCCCTATGCTCAGGAAGCCCCTGCAGCCACTCATTTTGGGGTGGCTGTAGTTTTCTGCCAGCACCACTGTAGGCTTGGAAATAGGGGCTTATTTTCCGGTTCCGTCCCCTCTCTCTGCAGATGGGATGCAGAGGTCCTGCCAGCCGAGCCCTGCAGTGGGTAGGAATAACCCTCCTGCTTCCCTGTGCCTGGGTGAGGCCAGCTCCAGGCCCCTCCCCCTGGTGCCAGACGTCCCCCCCCCCCCCGGGTGTGGCACTAGATAGCATGTGGCCATAGAAATGGATGGTGGCCTGGGCTCTGTGCTGACAGCTCAGAGCCTGCAGCCTGCTTCATATTCTGTCTCCCTCTCTCTGCCCCTCCCCCACTCATACTTTGTCTCTCTCTCAAACATAAATAAACAGTAACAAAAAAATTTTTTTTGAAGTGGATGGTGGCCATGGCAGTTGTGATTTTAACTATAGTAGCCTTGGGGTGCCCTGGTGGCTCAGTTAAGTGTCTGACTTCGGCTCAGCTCATGATCTTACGGTTCATTGGTTTGAGCCCCAAGTTGGGCTCTGTGCTGACAGCTCAGAGCCTGGAGCCTGCTTTGAACTCTGTGTCTCCTTCTCTCTCTCTTCCCCTCGTCTGCTCTTTCTCTGTCTGTCTCTCTCTTTCTCTGTCTCTGTTTCTCTCTCTCAAAATTAAATATTTTTAAAAAATTACCTGCAGTAGCCTGGTGATGGTGGCTGGGTCAGTTAGGGTTCAGCCAAGAAACAGAGCCAGTAGGAGATATGTAGACAGAACAGATGGGCGCAGAGAGATGTGGATACACACACACGCACATGGATTTATCACAGGAAATCAGTATCTACAGTGGAGCCTGGCTACGCAGTCTGAAGTCCGTAAGGCAGGTGCTCAGGAAACCCCAGGGGCGTGAGCTGTTTAGGATCTCTGCTCTGGAAACACCTACATGTCTTGCCTGATTAGGCCAGGCCCACCCAGGGTAATTTCCTTTTGATTAACTGAGAGTCCACTCAGGAGGGACTTTAATCCACAAAATCCCTTCAAACAGCACATTGGCACCTCGGTCAGTATCTGATTGAACAACAAAGGATTATTTAAAAAATTTCTGTATCTTCATTTATTCTTGAGAGAGAGAGACAGGGTGTGAGCAGGGGAGGAGCATGGAGATGGAGACACAGAATCTGAAGCAGCCTCCAGGCTCTGAGCTGTCAGCACAGAGCCCGATGCGGAGCTTGAACGCATGAACTGTGAACTGAAGTTGGACGCTCAACCGACTGAGCCACCCAGGTGCCCCAAGAAGGGACTATTTTAGCCTGCCAAGTTGGCCCATAAAATTGACCACCACAGTCCACCCCTTGCTCACTTGGCTCCCATACACAGCTCCATAAGCCATACTTAGTTTCTAAATAAAGACACTAACAAAGTCACACTGCTGCCTGGGGCAACGCAGCTAACCAGAAACACACTGACTCCTTCCTGGGAAGATGCAAAGTCCATGTTCGCACCTCTCCTTGGACAGCTTGGAATGTAAATACTGAGAAGGGACGTTACATGAACACGTCTTGGATTCAACTCTAAGGTTACAGAGAACAAAACGTGAGCTCCGGGTTAATACACCTGCACAAACATTCATGTCAAGATAAGGAAGAAAGAAATACGCATGACAACGAAATGTTTTGGTGCTGAGGCGGGTCACGTGGTCCTAGCTGGCATTTATAACTATCTTTCCGCGCTACCCACTCCTCGCGCCCTTGGCCCTCAGCACCTCAGCGGGCCATGGTTCTTTGCCTGGTGGGCTCACCCAAACCTTCATTCCTAACAGCTACAACTGGACGGTGGTTGTTTTCCACTGACTTCAGTCCTGGGGACTGGAAGTCCTACAAGGTGCCCTGAGGAACCTCTTGTGATCCAAGCATGCTCATATTCTGTTCTATTCTGTTCTGTCCCCATGGGCAGCAGCAAGCCCATCTCCCCATGGTAGTCAGGGTGACCCACCCCAGCCAGGACAGCAGCCCCCTTCTCTGCCTGTTGATTCAGGGTCAGGAGAGGCCCAGGGAGGCCCATGGCCGTTTGCTCCCAGGTCAATGGGATCATCGTGTCTCTGAGTAGAAGCATTTCTCCTTTCGGAACCAGGACCCCCCCCCTCTGGGTCGGTGACCTCCAGTCATAGAGGTGGGAAGCAGGCATGCTGCTAGCAGGTCTCTGCAGGTCATGGTGAGTGGTCCCATGGCCGCCCATGCCCCCTGGACACCTGGGTGCTGACAGGGAGATCGCGCCACGTATTAGACACCGAGTTAGAGCATATACAGCTGCCTGGAGGCTGCCGCCTTAGCTGAGTCTTCCGACACCCCTTCCACCATTCTGTCAAGCCAGCTGCTTGGTGGCCATGATCGTGATGGCCGTGGGTGGTTGCCGTGACTGGGGCAGCTCTGGCCTTGAAGGTGGATAGTGGCCGCGATGCTGGTGGATGTGGGGGTGGCGACCATGGTGTCGATGGACTGTGGATGTGGGGATGGCGGTGCTACAGTAAACTGCGGTCCCAGTGTGGCAGCAGTGGCTTTGAGGGGCCTGTCCACCTCTCAGCTGCTGCCTCTGGGTTTAGTGGTAGAGGAGCCGGTGCCCGATGACCGCTACCACGCCATCTACTTCGCGATGCTGCTGGCCGGCGTGGGCTTCCTGCTGCCATACAACAGCTTCATCACCGACGTGGACTACCTGCACCACAAGTACCCAGGTGGGTCCCCTGCGGTCATGCCCTGCCTGCCACAGGCTGGCCAGCACATGCAGCTCTGGGCCACCACCCTCCCGAAACCCTGCAAGCAGGCCTCTGTGTCCAGAAAGCTCATTTTACTCAAGTCCTCACTCAGCTGCAGATTGCTGGGTGACTCTCGGTAGCCACTCACCCTCTCTGGGCTGTCAGCTGCTTTCAGGCAGAGTGAGGAAGCATCCCCTGGTGAGGGTGGGGACAGAGAGTGGGACTGCCCCTGAGCACCTGCCGCTGGCTGGCCCCCTGCAGGGACCTCAATTGTGTTTGACATGAGCCTCACCTACATCTTGGTGGCGCTGGTGGCCGTGCTCCTGAACAACGTGCTGGTGGAGAGACTGACCCTTCACACGAGGATTACCGCAGGTACGCTGTCCCCAGGCTTCCGGCGCTCACGCATCCCGCCTACCACTCACCTCCCTGGTTTCCCTCCCACTCATGCTCCCCACCTGGAAAATGGGCCTGCATCCCAGAGTTCAGTGTATGAAAACAGGGTAAAGCCTGCGGTGGGTGCACCGTGTGCTAGCATGACAGCCGCACCGGGGGAGGCTTTGTGCACCCTCCATTGTGTCCCGGGGCCCAGTGTGCTCTTCCTGTCCCTTTCCTCTTCATGGCGATCCAGGGTCAAGGCCAAGCCCACATGGTGCCTCCTCCAGGAAGCCTTCCAGGCTCCCCTTCTAAGATGTCTAAGGTGTCCTCAGCCCTCCCAGCATAAGGGGAAAAGGCAGAGAGGGTACTTCTGACCTGGCTCTCCGGGAGGGGTGGGACGAGGGGAGCCCCCAGCCTCATGTGCCCTCACCTCTGGCCTCTCGTCCCACAGGCTACCTCTTGGCCTTGGGCCCCCTCCTTTTCATCAGCATCTGTGATGTGTGGCTGCAGCTCTTCTCTCATGACCAGGCCTACGCCATCAACCTGGCTGCTGTGGGCACCGTGGCCTTAGGCTGCACAGGTAGGATCCTGTGCTAGGGGTGGAGGGGAGCGGGGAAGGGGGGCTGGGGCTGAGCCCCTGAGTGCCCACTCCTGGCTACGCCATCCCTGCCCCGGCTGCCTGCAGGGGCCGTAACAACAGCAGGTGACAAGTCCTCCGTGCCGGTACCTCCCTGCCTGCGTGCCCCACATGCGCGCTGACACAATGCCTGCCACATCCGCGGGCACCCTACACACACACACACACACACGTACACGCTGTGCACATGATCGCATGCCCCCGCATGCCCCATGGACACAGAGGCAGCCCCCCCCCTTCTCAGATACAAACTACACTTCAGGAACTCTCCTGCTGGTGCGAGCACGCCACTGTGTTTCTCCTGGGCACTGGCTTTCAAAGTCGTATTTCTAACTTTCAATTTTGAAACTATTTCAAATCTATGGGACAGGTGCAAGAACAGTATAATAAATTCCCACATGCCTACCACTAGTTGATAACATTTTGTCGGATGGGCTCTCTCTGTCCCCCGCCCCACGTTTATATACACAGATATGTGTACATTTCGCCCCTGAATGCATATAAATGTAAAATAATCTATGTTTTCCCTTTAAACCGTTTGGGAGTTATACGCAGACATCATCACGTGTCTTGCCTACATATTAACGCTGGAGGGTGTGTTATCTAAAAGCATATTAACGCTGGACGGTGTGTTATCTAAAAGCCGAGGTGTTTCTTCCGTAACCATATTACAGCTGCCCGAGTCAGGGATTGAATGCTGGTGCGATGTTATCTACAACCCATCTGCGCATATTACCTGTCGCCTTGGTAACGTCCTTTAGCGTTCTCTTTTTCTGACCCAGGATCCCATCCTGGGTTCGTCTCTAATCCCCTTTAATCCCGAAGGGTCCTCAGGTTTCCTCTTCCACGGCCGTGACGTTTGGAAAGGTCCAGGTTTGTTGTTTTGTATTCTTCCAAGCTCTTCTTGAGCGAGAAGAAACCCACTTCACATTACGAGCCAGTGAACACATGTGTGAGTGTGCTGTTTATCAGTGAAATCAAGGCTTCTGGAAACAACGTTCTTGTTCCAGGCCTTGTCCTCGGGTCTGTTTTGTTCTGTTCCATTTGCTTAAAAAGATGTTTTCCCAGTGTGACTGCTCCAGGGTGTCCGTGTAGACCACGGATGTGCCAACCTCCAGGGTCCGAGCTAGTGAGTCTTTTCCCTGCTTAGACCCAGTGCTGGTTGTGACGAGAGCAGTGAGGCTCTAGAAGCCGGCTGGCCCCGAAACCTCAGCGGCTTCACAGAACAAGACTTATTTCTGGTTCTCGCCACATGTCCCGCACGTGGGTGGGAGGCGGGGCCCCACGCAGTCACTGGGAGTGGGACCGCAGCGGTAACGGTAAAAGGGCACCTTCGGTCGCTGCCGCTGGGGGGAAGACACACCCCAAGTCCATGTGGGCTTTTCATGCCTCGGCCAGATGTGGGGCACGTTGTCCCGTGCATGTGTCATTGGCCGAAGCCAGTCACGTGGCCTGACCGGCCGCGCATGCACAGTCTGGTGGATAAGGTGCTCAAACCAAATCTCCGTGCTGCCTGTGCTGTTAACATCTGTTTCCCTGCACCCTCACCAACGTGTGCCCTTGGACTTGTGAATTTGGTTGCAAGCTGACAGGTGATGGGTGGCATCTCACGGTGACTCCTCTGTCTGTCCCCCAAGTGCAGCAATCCAGCTTCTATGGCTACACGGGGATGCTTCCCAAGAGATACACGCAGGGCGTGATGACTGGGGAGAGTAAGTAGCGGCAGACCCCCCCGAGGGGACGCCCAGTGATGCACCACGGACCTGGAACGGGGGCCGGTGACCACCATCTCCCCACGCCTGGCTGGTGGGGGGCACGGACTCCCAGCGGGAAGGGACATGGCCGTGATGCAAGCACCTCTCTCCAAGCATGCAGTCTTTGTGCAAGAAGCATGCACGTGTCCTAGCGGAGGTCGGGGGTGACCTGGCATGCCCAGTGTCTGTGTGCTGTGTGCACATATATGCCGGGGTCAGCCTGTGCAAACCGTGATGTCCAGCACCCCACTGTCCTCGGAGCCCCAGACCCATGAGCTGACCCCTGCCCGGCAACTGCCACTTGGCTTCTCAGACTCACTTTCCCAACCACCCTGGCCCTGTCCTCCTGCCCCTGGTCAGTGAACGGCACCCCCGTGTTCACACTGGAGACTTACCCGGCACCCTTAGACTTGCCCTACACTCCAGCCCTGGCCTCGGGGGCCAGCCTCCCTCTCACCCCGCCGCCCCTGCCCACACATCAGGCCTCCCTTTGAAGCACCTTCCTCCAGATGTTCCCAGTCCTCCTGTCGGTGGGTGGGCCAGGGTCAGCAGTGCCATCCAGGTAGAAAGCTGGGCCCATTTCTCATCTTCGAGGTACTCGGCACCCCCTCTCACGTGGTGAGGTTAGCCCAATATCCCCAGGACTCCCAGCCTCAGGTCTGCGGGGTTTGGTTCCAGGAAGCATGGGGCAAGCAGGTCACCTCTGCACGTTTTCTCACGGAGATGAGCGGTGCATAACTGGGGTGCTTTATGCAGTCGGGGGCCCCACACCCCGGGAGCTGGGGGCCATGGCCGCCTCTGCCAGACACTGCCCAGCGGCTGGTGGTCACACTCCACACCCACATCCTGCCTGGGGCCTCCTGCCCGCCATGACCCTGCTGCCCTCCCTCGTGACCTCACGAGCACAGCTCATGCCAGCCCCTGCCGGGTGTGCTGCACCCACCCCGGCGGTCGCCTGCCCCCACCATCACGCGTGAATGTTGGCATTTTAACGCGACTTCTTTGCAGCCAACCCCACCGAGCTCTGGGAAGGCAGGGCTATGTCCCCTCTGTCCCCACTGTGTCCTCAGGGAGGGACAGGGCCAGGGCGGGGCTGGGGCAGGGCCAGGGCCGAGCTGGGGGCGCTGAGTGGCGCCCTCCCGGCCGTAGGCACGGCGGGCGTGATGGTGTCCCTGAGCCGCATCCTCACCAAGCTGCTGCTGCCAGATGAGCGGGCCAGCACACTCATCTTCTTCCTGGTGTCAGCGGGCCTGGAGCTGCTCTGCTTCCTGCTGCACCTGCTGGTGCGGCGCAGCCGCTTCGTGCTCTACCACACAGCGCGGCCTCGCGACAGCCGCCCGGGCTGCAGGGCCGGCTACCGCGTGCACCACGACGTCGCCGCGGGGGACGTCCACTTCGTGAGTCTGCCGGGCCCGCCCCCACCCGGCCCTGGTTGTGGTCTCCACCACCCTGCGGCCTCGGGCTCCTTCCCAAGAGGCCTCTATTCTGTGGACCCAGGGTTCGTCCCCGTCCCGTGGCACAGTGTGTGCGTGGCCTGAGTCCCTGCTGGCAGGCCGCCCGGAGCAATGCTGGGTGGGGGTGCGCCCTCTAGCGGCAGCAGCGAGGACGGTGGCGCGGGCCCAGGGGCCCCGGGTGGGAGGGGCCAAGGCATGGAGTCCTCCAAGAGGGGGTCCGCGGGGTCCCCCTCCCCCGGTTCTGTATGGGAAACACTGCCGTGAGCTCAGGATGCGGACCACCAGGCCATATGCCGTGTCACGGTGCTGGGATTATGCCCACGGCGGAAACGGGGCCTGGCAGTGGCCAAGGAGGCTCCCCAAGAAGTGGCTTCTGGGCTGAAACCTGAGCCCGGTGGAGGGGAGATGTGAAGTCCCACAGGAAGAGCATTAGGGACAGAGGGAAATGCATCTGCAAAGGCTCAGAGGCAGATGGGGCTCGGTGTGTCTGACGGACCCCATCCAAACCCCACTGACTGCTGTTTGATCCTCCCTCCAGGAGCACCAAGGCCCAGGCCTGGCCAACAGCGGGTCCCCGAAGGACAGCCCGGCCCATGAGGTGACCAGCCACAGCGGGGGAGCCTACACACGCTTCGATGTGCCTCAGCTGAGAGTCACGCGCAGCTGGCCCTCCTTTAGAGGTGGGGGGGAGGGCGGGCAGGGCGGCGCTCTGCGCATGTTCAGTGACGCCGCGGCTCCGTGGGCCTCACGCGCACGCCCGTGCGGGGCGGGGCAGACGCTGAGGCCTCACGCGTGGCCTGTTCCCCCGCAGCCCTGCTGCTGCACCGCTACGCCGTGGCCCGCGCCATCTGGGCCGACATGCTGTCCATCGCCGTGACCTACTTCATCACACTGTGCCTGTTCCCGGGTCTCGAGTCCGAGGTCCGCCACTGCGTCTTGGGCGAGTGGCTGCCCATCCTCATCATGGCCGTGTTCAACCTCTCCGACTTCGTGGGCAAGGTAGGCCTGCAGCCCCTTCTGCGCGTCTGGGGGCGAGGCGGTGGGGGCCGGAGAGCCCCCCGGGGAGGGGCGGTCCATGAGCTGAGCACGCCCGCGTCTCCCGAGTGGGGAGGGCGGCGGCCGAGCAGTGACACGGCCCGGCTACCGTGCAGGGCATCTTCGAACTGTCTGTTGGCTGTCCCCACAAAGTCCGGTACCCGCTATCATCGTGTGTCTCTGCTCAGAGCCAGCAGGTCCTTGGGGCAGGCCTCCAAAGACAGCACAGGAAGTATTCCCACGGGGCAGGAGCACTTGGAAGGGGCCAGGAGGATCTGGGCACGGTGCTCTGTGCTGTGCGCAGCACAGGGGTGGGGGTCGGGGCTGGAGTAAGGTCAGGGCTCCCATTTCTGGGGCAGGCCTGATGTGGGTCTTTTCCAGATGAAGGAAGAAGGTGAGGTTCAGAGAGGGAAAGCAGTTTGCTCGAAGTCATGCAGCTAAATCTGGTTTGTGAGAGAGCAAGGCTTAGTTAGCAGGCTCAGCTCCCAGCCCTGTGACTTCCTGTTGTGGGAGATGTTGGCAGGTGACCCTCTGGGCCTCGGGTCGTCACTTCCCAAACAGGGTCAAGAGCCCATCCTGCAAGGGTACAGTGAGAAATGAACAGGAGCGATCCGTGCGGTGTTTAGAAGAGTACTCGACCCGCAGCAAGGAGCGTGTGTTGCTGTGACATGGGATTTGGTGGATTTAGTGGTGTGGTCCCAGCTGGATCAGGACCGGGGTGCAGCCTCGGTAGAGGGAGGGGGTCGACGTGCTGCACTCCCCACAGATCCTGGCTGCTCTGCCCGTGGACTGGCGGGGCGCCCACCTGCTGGCCTGCTCCTGCGTGCGCGTGGTCTTCATCCCTCTCTTCATCCTGTGCGTCCATCCCAGCGGCACACCTGCCCTGCGCCACCCAGCCTGGCCCTGCGTCTTCTCTCTGCTCATGGGCATCAGCAACGGCTACTTTGGCAGTGTGCCCATGATCCTGGCAGCGGGCAAAGTGAGCCCCAAGCAGCGGGAGCTGGCGGGTAAGGCCCAGCACCCCGCTGCCCGGCGGGGAAGTCAAGGCCCACAGAAATCACGACCTGGAGTGCATTTGAACTCCAGGATCAAGTCAGTCTCAGGGAGTTTGTAGGTCCGAGCGTGTTTGTCAATTATTTATTCCTTCATTTGTCCCACAATTACATGGTGAGCCCCTCCTGTGTGCCAGGAGCTGTCCTAGGTGCTGGGGACTCAGTGGCCTCGAAACAATGCTCCCTGCGCTTGTGGGGCTGACAGTCCAGAGGTGACAGGTGACCGTGCCTGTAGTATGTTGAGTGGTGGTAATCGGACAGAGGAAAAATAGACAAATAGGATGTGGGAGTTGGGATGGGGAGTTTGCAACATAAGCGGAGCAGTCTCCCAGAGGAGGTGACCTTTGACCGCAGACCTGGAAGAAGTGGTGAGGGACACATGACAGTCCTAGGGACTAGCCCGTGGCAAAGCCCAGAGGCAGAGCCGGCGGTGGGAGGGGCCGCCAGGGCAGGGGGTGGGAGGGCCGAGGAGGGACTGGACCTTAATGTGCCTTAAGACCCCCTCTGGTGCTGCTTGGATAGCAGGGTGGGGACAGGCTGGGGCCAGGAGGGCGTGAGGAGATGCTGCACCCGTCTGTCCATACCACAAAGCATGGGGGCCCTGACAGGGCAGGGTGCCTCTCCTCTGGGGGAAAACGGTGGATTCTGGATCTGTTTTGCTGGGAGAGCCCACGGGGCCAGCCGATGGATTGGGAGACCGGGTATGAGACAGGGGTCGGGAGTCCAGGAGGAGCCCCAAGTTTGGGGCTGTGGCGAGAAGCTCAGGTTGCTGTCTGTGGAGATGGTAGGGGGCTTGTGGGGGAAGGGGCCCTGGAGTCTGTTCTGCGCACAGTAGTTCAAGAAGTACCGCGAGGCACCCTGGGCTGTCAGTGCCCGGGAAGCACGTGGAGGTGGGGGGCAGGAGATGGAGAAGCAGGCAAGGCCCTGGGCACTCGGTGTGCTCCCGAGGATCTAATAGCCCCTCAGATGGCTGCCTCTGTACCAACGGGCCTTGGTCACTGCCTCCAGAGGCTTGGGTACCAGGCCTTTGTTGAGGCCACCAGGTTGGTCCGCGTGGGTTTGGCCACCGTGGTCCTCTGAGCGCCCCTCGCCACCCCTGCCCCCTGCCCCCACCCGCTACCTCAGGTCCAGTCTTGTCCGCAGGGAACACCATGACCGTGTCCTACATGACGGGGCTGACGCTGGGCTCCGCGGTGGCCTACTGCACCTACAGCCTCACCCGGGACGCCTACAGCACCTGCTTCCACCCCTCCACCAACACCTCCTCCCCGGCTGGCCTCTGAGCCGGGGCTGCCCCCCACCTCAGGCCCGGACTAGGGGGCCCGAGGCCCGAGGCCCCTTCCCCACCCCTGCCTGCAGTGCCTGCGGGGCCCCGGCCTCCCCCTGTGCCAGTAACGCCACCCTCAGGGTCCAGCCGTCCGTCATTCTGGCCCCAGGGTTCTGCTGAGCCCTCTGGCCACCCAGGGCCGCCCTGGGCCACCCAGCACTGTGCTCTGCGTTGTGTCTTGAGCCTGCCCTTCACCCTCCGTGTCCAGTGGCCCCACCTCTCGCCAGGCCAGTGCTCTCTGGGGTCACAGCCATTCCCAGCCAGGAGAGCAGACTGCCAGTAACCCCTCCTGGTGACCCTCACCCATGGCCCCGGACCCCAGCCCCCCTTCACCAGGAGCCCCTCCTCATGAACATAAGAGGTTCACAGTAGAGAGGGCCTCTCCCCATCTGTTTGTAAACACTGGTTCTTCCAAACAAAATGCATTTGCCAAGAAGGAATCGTAGCCCTGGGTCTGAATGGTCTCAGCCCGCGGTCTCCGCTCTCTGACCACAGCTTCTACACCTGCCCGGGCACGCCCACCCCGCATCGAAATCCCTGTGCACCTGGCACACACCTGATGCCAGGGCCCTGGCGGTCTGTGCCTGACAGGAGCCTGTCAACTTCTCTGTACCCCTTGTCTGTCTGTGACACCAGAAGGGGGCACACCCTGGTTGAAGTCTCTCTCAGATTTCGATCCTCACCCAGGGGGCCCCAGGGAGGGACGTGAGGCGCTGGCAAGTAGAGAGATGCGGGGGTCCCTCCTCAGCCGGGACCCTCGAGCTCCAGGCTGGCCCAGTGCCCTGAGCAGAGGAGATTCTGGAGCGTCTTGCCAAAGACAGGCTTTTCTGGGGAGAGGACAGTCTGCCCTGCCACGCCCACAAACAGCTACAACCACCCACCCTTCTGTGTCCTGTCCACCCGTCTGTCCACTAACTGTACCGCACCAGCCATTAAAAGATGAAGACAGAAACTCCCCAACTGCTGCCTTGGAGTAGCGTCTGTGTGGGTGGGGGTTGCCCCCCCCCCCGGAGTAGTGTGGGTGGGGGAAAGGGTCCTGGCGGCTGGGACGTTCCTCTTGTCATCTGGAAAGTGGCCCTGTCCACACCCAGGCCTGGAGTTTGTTCAAAGAGGGCGGATGGGGATGGGTCAATCTGGTAGCAGCAGGGGCTCCCTGCACCTGGTATGGGGGGTGAACGGTGGCCCAGGAGCTGGAAGCATTTGGGGTTTGAAGGGCACCTTGGTGCTCAGGTTAGGGAAGAGGACTGTGTCCTGCTCATTTGAATGGGGAGAAAGAAAGGGGAGACAGCTTGCCCCCTGCCTGCAGGAACTCAAGAGCCAGGACCTGGGGTCTGCGTGTTCAGTGGCAAAGCCCTAGCTCTGCGGCTGATCTGTGTGATAGGAACAACTTCCTGTACTGTTTGATGCCTTCATTTCCCTCAAGAAGTGGAGCTGGTCCACTCTTTGATGCAGGTCCCTTGGAGGAGAGCTGGGACGGGGCGGGGGGACTGGCCATCAAGGGGCTGTGCTCCAGCCACTGGAACGCACTGGGCAGGCATCACTTTGGGACCCAGGTGGGCACCCTGGGCAGCTGTGGGAAGAGCCGAGACCTCCAGGTGATACCACAGGGACTGCCAGGTGGCGCCAGTTCACTACTGCTGCTCCTGCTGTCACGTGACTCAGTTTCTCTGAAGCTAGAGGACCATCAGTGCCTTTCTCCTGGCTGGTGGCTGGGCAGGTGCCAATGGAGTCGGGCTGAGAGCTGACCTCAGGGAAGGAGTGGGTAGCAGCACCAGGAGAAGGGCCCAGACTCCCCCAGCCCGTCGCGCCCACATCTCCACACCTGCTCAGGGCCACTCCCATCCTCAGCATCGTCCTCATGCTTGTGGTCTTCAGGTAGGAGTGTGGCTGGGAGTACTGATCTTGGCATTTTCCAGAAACAGGAGGTGCAAGTCCCCCAACCTCTCACTGGCCAAGAGAACTTTCTGCACCGATGGACACGTTCTGTATTCCAGCCACCCAATGCAGTAGCCACTGGCCACATGGCCGGGGCAACCAAGAAACTTTTCATTTCCCTTCATTTCAGTTAGCTTGGATGTAAGTAGCCCCGTGTGGTCAGTGGTCACTGTATGGGGGGGGGGGAGACACCCAGCTCCTGGGCCTAAAAGGTCAGCACCACCCCCAGCTGCTGCCACACATCATGTACCACCTCCCCAGCCCCCGAAATGAACCACTCCAGACAAAAGTATCCTCCGATTATAGCTTTTTCTTTTTTCTTTTCTTTTTTTATGAAAAAGATCACACAGAATTCGCCAACAAAATTCCAAAAGAAACTTAAAAAAAAAAAAAAAATTCCCCCAAAAAACAAAACCGAAGTCTGGCTTTTCCTTCCCTTAAGATTGTCTGGACGAGGCCTCCCGTCCCCCTGGAAGGCCCGGGGGCTGGTAAGTGCTTTCTGGGGCTGGGGCTGAGCCGTGGGAGCCGGGCCGCTGCGCCCGGCTGGGCCTGCCCCCCCTTGGCCTCTGCTCTCCCTAACTGTTTCTCCGTTTTGGGGGCGAGTACAGTACACCTGGGCTGGGCAGGGCGGGCGGGGTGTGCTTGGGATGAAGGGGGGGCTCGTGAAGCTGGGTGCTAGACACAATCTAATAGGAAATAAAAAATAATATTCTGCACGTCAGAATGTGTTTTTTTTTTATAATTTCATAGCTATTTTTTTCACAGTTTTAAAAAGTTTATATTTATATATATTTATATATATTTATCTTTATATATATAATTAAAAAGTTGACTCCATTTAAAGGCGTATGATACAGGGGCAAGGAGAGTCTCTCGGTACGATAAAACTGTACAGGTTACCAAGTGCCGCCTCCCTCCGGGCGGGCCGAGGCCTGGGCAGGAGGGCCGGGCGTGGCCGGGATGAGGATTTCAGCACCATTGGGGTTGTCTGTAGTGTAAGGGGCCGGACCAGGAGGCGGGGCCCTCAGGGCAAGCAGCCCCCTCCGCCTGGCACCTGCCTGTTGCTCCTGGGCTCCACCCTCACCCGGCCCTGGCGCCCCAGTCCGGGCCGTCCTGAGTGGGCGGAGGCCGGGCCCTGGCCGGTGCCCAGAGCAGGGCCTGGCGAGAGCCGTGAGGCTGGCGGGCACCCGGCCACTCCCTGTCTCACGGCAGGAGGTTCGGAGTGGGCTCCGTGCTGAGGTGGGGGCGGGGGTAGGGGTCAGGCACTAGGAGCCGGACCCACAAGCCGCGGGAACCCCAGGATGAATGTCAGTTTGGTTCCCTGGAAACCCCCTCCCCACTGAGTCCCCGTTGGGCCTTGGCTGAAGGCGCCTGGGGGCCGGGGGCCTGGCCTGGCCAAGTGCTTACAAGGTGCTGGAGGGGAGGCCCTTAAGGGGGGCCCGGCAGAGCCATACCCTGATAGCTGAGAGGAACCCCGTCTTGGGGGGCACAGAGGGGGACGCAGAGGGGGCCAGAGACGTGTGCACATGTGTGCACACACGTGCATGCATACAGGCACACACATGTACACACTCACGCACGCCAGGGCATCCAAGGGCACACCTGCATGCACGTGGCCCCCAAGACGTGGCAGTGATGGCGAGGGGCCCCAGTCAGCCGGGCCTCGGGGCACAAGGCAGCTGGCAGGGTGCTGGGCGCTCAGCAGAGCACAGGCACGCCGTCGGTGGAGAAGATCATGCCGGTGGTGGGCTCGTAGGTGCCCGCGAGGTAGTACAGACCCTCGCTGTCCTGGTACTTCTTGGTCTTGAGCATCTGCTCGTACTGCTCCAGGCCCACCACCAGGCACTTGTGCGACACGGTCTGCACGTCGTTCTCGTCCACGTGCGAGGACTGGTACAGGGCACGCTGTGGGCACAGCAGGTGGGCTCAGGGCAGGAAGACAGCGAAGCCGCCACCCCTTCCCAGACCGACAGGACCAGGGAGAACCTTGAGGGCTGAGACAGAAAGATGCCCCAGAGAGACCGCGAGATAGAGGCTGGGGTTATGAGACCAAGAGAGATGCCAGGACAGGGACCCGAAGAGTGAGGGCCCAGAGTACAGGGGTGCCAGCGTGGCACACATGGGGTTCAGCGTCGGACGTGGGGTTGGGGTCAGAGGCCCGGCCCCCGCCGGGCTGAGTGCAGACGGTTTGAGGCAGCCCGCCTCCAGCCCACGCTCCCTACCTCCATGAAGTCCTTCCTCTGGCTGGAGGCCCGCAGGGCTGCGGGGAGGCTGCGGCCAGACTTCTGGTCCCAGTGCTGTGTGCGTGACAGACACCAGGCGGCGGTCAGCCCGGCCTCAGGCCTCAGAGCCAAGTGCCCCAGCCTCACTCTCTGGGCCCGAGGGGCCACCGCTTCCCGGCCTCACCTGGCCCTCGTGGAGGCGCTTGCCTGGGCTGGTCTCCTCGGGGTGGTAGAACCACTTGACGCGGACCACCATGTTGCTGCCCCAGGACTCCCACATGCTCTGGATGCGGCCGATGTAGGGCAGGTTGGGGCGGCCAGCCGACAGGAACACGGCGCAGTCCCCGATGCGGATCATCTCCTTGCCACGCACGATGGCCTTGTAGAACAGCTTGCGGGCCTTGCCCTTCATGCCGCGGCGCTGCGGGACACGCGAGTCAGGGAGCCCCGGGCCGGTCCTCCAACCCCAGGGCTCTGCAGAGGCCGGGGTGGGAGGCAGCCCCTTGCTTCTTCTACCCAGGGGACTTCTTAACCTCTCTGCACACTGGGGGTCTAAGAGAGGCTTCACTGACACTAAGGAGCTCAGCTAAGAGGGACCTCTGGGACCGTCCAGGTGGCTGAGTTGGTTAAGTGTCTGACCAACTCAGGTCATGATCTCCCAGTTCATGGATTCAAGCCCCGCGTCGGGCTCTGTACTGACAGCTCGGACCCTGGAGCCTGCTTCGGATTCTGTGTCTCCCTCTGTCTCTCTGCCCCTCCCTAGCTCATGTGCGCGGTGCGCGCACTCTCTCTCTCAAAGCTAGGTTAAAAAAAAAAAACTTAAGAGGAACCTCCAGTTCCCCGTCCTGGCCAAACTGCACTGCTGTCCACAGGGCTCACGGAGGCCAAGCCCTGGGCCCAGGAGCCCCATGTGGACCCGCAAGTTCCAGACAGTGCCAGTGAGGGCCAGTGGGGTGACAGGACAGGGGAGCCCAGGGGCTCACAGCTTTGCCTCTGGACAGAGTGCATGACTCCACCCTCCACAGCTTGCACGCAGCCATTCAGACCCTGGGGCCACAGGTCACTTGCTGCATAGCCTCATTCTACACCCCCACAGGCAGCGTGGGGCTGAGTCAGCCACCTAAGTGGCCTGATCAGGGGCAATGGAGTAAGGGGCACGGGCTGAGGGCTGTCACTGGGACAATGTTAGACCCCAGGGGAAGCCTCTAAGGTGAGCCCAGGGCCTGCAGGAGTCAGCACTAGACCCACATCTGCCAGGCCCACTGCGTGCCGTTTTTTCTTCGTCACTCAACAGACATTTCCTGGAGCCTGCTCAGTGCCCCAGCCTCGGCTAGCATGGGGACGGACGTGCAGGTTCCGAGGAGGGGAGAGACCTGCCTGCCGTCAGGATTCCAAACCCATCAGAGCCCCAGGCAGCTCTGGGGCCTGCCATCACTGTCCCTAGGGACAAACCCCCAGAAGCCAGGCCTGAGCAAAGCTCTGCCCTGCACAAGCCAGTGCATGCTCTCTTCAAACTAAGATCTAAAATCACTTTGCCATTTTCACATTGGCTACGAAGTGACTCAAAGCCAATTTATCTAAACACAAGAAAACTACACACCAATTTCCAAATTTCTTCAGCAGGTACTTTTTCTTTTAATTCACTGGGTCCCTGGTGGTGACGGGTTCTGAAATCCTTTCCCTGATTTCTGGTATGTCCTATGAACTGCTCAACTGCTTTTCAGCTCAACATTGAAAATAAGTAAATTCGAGGTGAGGCAGACAGCTAAGATTTCTAAACCAACTCCTCTTTGACGGCCGTTA